TCAGGTCGCGAGTATTCACTGTAGCGATCTAGTAGCGAATGGTCCCAGACTTGGACAAAATGTAATTGACCCTCTTCGCTGGTAGCGAGGGGCTTCTCCTAGCGAAGCCCCAACGAGTAGGTAGCCAAGCCTTATAGTAGCTTCTGTTTGCCTTCGCGAGCTTGTTCGCTAGGCGAACAGGTAGCTAGTGTTCGCTAGGCGAGCAAGCCAGCAAGCGTGACAACATTCTCATTTCCTTGTTATTCCATCCAATGTTGATTGTTTGGTTCAATTGTGTTCAATCTTGATCTGAAATGAGTAATTGTGTGCATATATATATATATATATATATATATATATATATATATATATATATATATATATATATATATATATATATATATATATATATATATATATATATATATATATATATATATATATATATATATATATATATATATATATATATATATATATATATATATATATATATATATACGTTGTGGGTAGCCGTATAGTGTGAATCCTAGATTGTGGAATCGATTGTGGAATGTGGTTTCTTTGACAAATATGTGCATTGTTTGAATTGATTAAAAATGCATGATGATTTGTGATGAAGTTTGTTGCCGTTTGGCACGATGATGTGAATGCATATTGATTGTATGCAATATTGTGAATAATGCATGAGAACATATTGTGAATATGTATGCATTGTTTGATAAATATGGTGATGGTATTGGATTGTGAATGCATATTGATTGTATGCAATATTGTGAATAATGCACGAGAACATATTATGAATATGTGTGCATTGCTTAATAAATGTGATGATGTTGAAAGTATGAATACTTTGATATGATGTGTGAGTGTGAAATCATGTTATAATTCTTATGTGATGAATTATTTGAGAATACATGAGATTAAGATGCGAGAACGGTCTTAAGTGCATTTGGTTGTTGATTGCATACGCATCATTTGGTCAAGAGGCAATGCTTGCTAGTTTCGTGGAGACTAGTGACTTGTCCTAAACCTAGAAGAGTGGGTTTGAAAGCTTAGAGGACGGGCTTTTGTTGTTATCGGTCTAGAGGACAGACCCGGTTTAAATGTAAAAACCGAAAAATGATAACAAGTGTTGGTACCACATGCCATGAGTTGCATTGAGTTGCATTGAGTCACATGGCATAGAGATAAATGTTGTGTGAATGTATGGATATGTGTATGTTATGTGGATTGATGAGAATTATGGATGTGCGCATGATGAAACATGTTTGGTGATTATCCATATTTGTTTATACATATATTGTGATTTATATGATGACGATAATGAATTGTGGTGAGTAATGCAGAATGTGTGTATTCTATGCTTATATATATATATATATATATATATATATATATATATATATATATATATATATATATATATATATATATATATATATATATATATATAATTATATGCATTGATTATTATGATAATATTTCTCACCCTTCTGTTGTTTTATAATGCTCTATGAGGCATTGCAGATTAGGTTTGCTGGACGTCTTTTGTGAAGTATAGCTTCATTCTTTCGGTCAGTTAGCTCTGATATGTAGCACCGGGTAGTTAGGATTGTATAGCATTCTTTTCTGATACATTTGTATATGTATCTGCTGACAAATGTTTATGTAAACTTGAATGATGTGGTGAATCAAACTGGATGATATGCATTTATATGATTACATGTTTAGAATGATTTAATGTTTAGATTTTCCGCTTTTAATTCTAAATATTGAGATGTGGGTGTAAGGACTAAGTTCCTCTGTTGAAGCTACCCCACTGATGCATGTCTTTTATAAAGCAGGTGTTGTATGTTTGAATTTTGTGTGTGATGTTACATACCTCTTTTATACCATGTTTTAATTATACTCTACTGAAATTTTAATATTTGCTTAAATGATTTATTGTTTATTTGGGGGTATAGAAGGGGGTGTTACACTTATCGAATTCAAGTATTATCCATGTTCCATCAGACTTTGATTTTGCAACCAAGTCTTTCACACATAAACATGTGTTTGAAACATAACCCTCCTCATCTATCACATAAACAAGTAAAAAAATTAATGTCATAACTCAACTATGTAAAAAAAATTAAATTATTTACAAATACTTTAACCTTAAATTACTTATTAATGACATTTACATCCCAATACATAGATTTAGCCACTTTTACAACATCTTCAGTCACATCTTCTACCACAACATCTTCAGCCTCATCTCATACCACAACATTTTCAGCCTCATCTCCTAGCACATCATCTTCGGTCTCATCTCCTACCACAACATCTTCATCCTCATCTGCTACCACAACATCTTTTGCAGTTTGGATTGACAAAGGGGTTATTGTAGTTTCAATTGGCAGAGGGGTCATTTTAGTTTGGATTGGAGGAAGAGTTATTATAGTTTTGATTGGTGGAGGGATTATTAATGATTTGCGCGTTGTAGTTGAATGTAGGCGCTTCTTGTTTACTTCAAGCTCTCCAGGTTGTACAAACCTTGGACGACCCTTCACAGACTCAATAAAATACATCAGTGAATATCAATCAACAATTAATACAATTAATTTTTATAGACTAGTATTGAGAATTTATTACTAACCGGTGATGGTTTGGAAGAAGACGAAGATGTTTTGTGAAGGGATTGAGAGAGCTTTGGAAGATCGAGAGTCTCTAGATTTTTCTTATTCTCTGCAATTCTTTTGAGGCGAATTTCCTCATATGATGAAATTATTGTCTCACAAAAGGCTTCAACTGCAAGTATATGTATTAAAAAGACAGTACACTAATAGTAGTAAACATCAAAATTTTATATTAGTGACTATAAATTTAATAAACATAACACAAACATAATAAATTAAAAGGATAATTTATGCAATAAAATATAGAGTAGTAATGTCATCTCATGCATTAATTAGGGATAAGCAACAAAAAACATAGAGTAATAATGTTATCTCATACATTAATTAGGGATAAAAAACAAAACACATAAGTCTCACACAATAATGTTAATTATACAAACAAACTAGATTTCTTATCAATAAAAAACTATATGTTAACATTTGCTGACGAAGTTCCAATATCATCATTCGAAAAAATTTGTTCCAAATTTTGTGATGGATATGGCTCAATGGGTGACATAATTCCATCATTTCCACCCATTTCATACAAGTCTCTTGGCTTCAAAGGAACATGTATGCTCCATCCTTGTTCATTCTCATCATCCACATAAAAAAACATCTGAGCTTCTGACGCTTGAATGTACGACTCATTATCTTCATGTTCCCCATAATGTAGTAGTTTTGTAAAGTTTATAGAGGTAAAACCCAACTTATCTATCTTAATGTCTATTGGGTTTGTGGTATTAGCCCATTCATATTTAAACATGGGCACTGTGAAGCCATCATAGGAAAGCACAATAATGTATATCAATCTTCCATAGTAAGAGACCCCTCCAAATCTCATTTGGGTATCACTATTGCTTGAATAACTTCACGTCCCAAACAAGCCAAAAACGCAATTGTCTTGAGTTTTTACAAGATTGTCTCGTTCCAATGTTCGAAATTTGAATCCATTGACATTGAACGCAATAAATCTTTTAACTTTATCAAAAGGTCCATAAGCAAGACTGATGAGAACATCTTTATCTGGTCCATGAATGTTGTCAAGATTGTTGCAAATCTATACACGATACAACATCCAATTAGTCTTGTTATTATTAAAATCCAATTCAATAAAAACATCTATTTTTGTATAAAAACTCACACGATTGCGGAACCAATGAGCAAACTCTCTATAACCTTCTTATCTATCTCAGCAGCACTTCTTTGACTGCGCTTCATTTGATTCTGAGTAATACTTTGGAACTGCCTATTTGGTTATTTGATATTAGATGTAAAAAAAATCTTAATAGTGCAAATGAAACTACTTAAATAGCATAAAACTACTTACTTTAGATAGTCGTCAACTATTGGACAATTCGTTAAAATGTGTCTATGAGCCTGCAACTTTTCAATTGGTGTTAGGGTGTAATAAGAAGATACACCCACTGGTTTCCCAAATATAGGAAATAATTCGGTTGCACGTGATCCTATTTGGATATCACCAATAGGGTCATCATCTACACGTCCAGGTTGATTCCATCTAGTTTCAATGTTTTCGAGATATCTTGAACAAAATGTAAGAATCTCTTCAAAACGGTATCCTTCTGCAATAGACCCTTCTGGTTTTGCCTTATTACGTACATGCGATTTAAGTTTTACCAAGTACCTATTATTCAACCACAATAGTATCGGTTAAAAAAAATCTTTCTACTTTCTAAGTTAGTAACAATAAAATAAAATCACATGGTTTACCTTTCAACAGGATACATCCATCGATAATGAACAGGACCTCCAAGTTTAACTTCTTCAACAAGGTGAACAACCAAGTGAACCATAATTGTGAAGAACGAGGGAGGAAATAACATTTCCATGTGGCATAAAGTGAGGACAATTTGGTTTTGCAATTTTTCCAATTCTTCAATTTTCAATACCTTGGCACATAATTGTCTAAAGAATGAGCACAACTCAATCAAAACTGCTAAAATCTCATGAGGTAATGTGTTGCAAATGGCTAATGGTAGAAGTTGTTCCATTAATATATGACAATCATGACTCTTCATCATTCCATTCACCTTGAGATTTACTAAGTCAATGCATCTAGAAATGTTGCTTGAATAACCATCAGGCACCCTAATATTCCTTAAAGTTATTAAAAAAATTCCTTTTATCTTTACCCATTAAACTAAAGGCTGCTGGAGAAATTCTACCATTTTCATCAGGCCAAAGATCGGCTCTTATGCCCATATTTTGAAGGTCATCTCTAGGTTTAGAATTGTCTTTACTCTTTTGCATATCATTTAGTAAAGTAAATAGGACATTATCACACACATTTTTCTCAATATGCATCGGATCAAGATTATGGCGCAAAAGATTATCCTTCTAATACGGAAGTTCAAAAAATATGCTTTTTTTTCTCCATTGTTGAGGATGACCTAGTGTAGGATCAAATTGTGTACTATCACCTTCTATAGGTTGTCCCTCAAATGTTCTTTTTAGTGATTTTTCTTTCACTGGATCTTTACCAAAGATGACTTCAATATCTTTAACCTGTTCAAAAACTTCATGTCTAGATAATGTTATCGGTGGACTTCGCATTTCTTGTTCACCATTAAAGCAGATCCTGTTTAATCTAAACATGTGTCTCCGATCAAGGAAACGACAATGACCCATAAAACACCATTTACGGCTACCTTTAAGACGGAGAGGTGTAGTTTGAAAGTTACACGATGGGCAAGAAAGCCCTGTATATGTGTTCCACCCAGAAAGTGCACCCATACCTAGAAAGTCACTAATCGTCCACATCAAATTTGCATGCAACTTGAACATATCTTTCTTGAAAGAATCGTATGTATCTACACCATTTGTCCATAACTCTTTCAGCTCTTTGACTAAGGGTTGTAAGTAGACTTCAATATTATTTCCTGGTGCTTCTTTTCCGGGAATTATCATTGACATTATAAATGATGTATGTTTCATGCAAACCCATGGAGGAGTGTTATATGGAATGAAAATAACTGGCCAAATACTATTGTTTGTATTCATCACACCAAAAGGATTAAAACCATCACTAGCCAATGCAACACGCACATTTCGCGGATCTGATGAATACCAAGTATGTGTCAAGTCAAATTTCTTCCAAGCTTCTGAATCTCTAGGATGCCTCAACATTCCATCGTTGTTAGCATCTGTTGCGTGCCATCTCATATCCTCGGTCGTCTTTGATGATAAAAATAATCTCTGTAATCGAGGTTTTAATGGAAAATAACGAAGAACCTTGGCAGGAATTTTTTTTCTTTTTCTTGTTAACAAAGACTGCTTCATTTGTTTTCCATTTTGAAGTGTTGCAATTTTTGCAAGTCTCTGTTTCTTCATCTTCTCCCCAATAAAGCATACAACTATTTGGACATGCAGGTATCTTTACATAATTCAAACCAAGTTTTGTGATTAATTTCTTGGCTTCATAGAACGAACCTGGAATGTTTGCATATTCAAATGCATCTTTAATTAACTTTAAAACTATTGTCATTGCCTTCTCACTCAATCCACATAAACACTTTATATGGTACAACTTAACCAAAAAAGATAGTCTTGAATATCGTCTATGTTGTGGTGAGAATCATGATGCCAAGCTATTGATTAACTTGAATCTTAATTCTTTAAATTCACAACCGGACTTTGATTTATCCAAAGGAAAGTTTAAGGAAAGAAATACCTTTTGCGCGATGTAACAACAACACTAAGAGATTGGGGATTGGGGGTTGGTTATGCCTAGGGTAGGTATTTCACATCCTAAACATTTGTAGTACTCTATAGGAACCTTTTGTATGTTTGTATGTTATGCTTGCTAAATGTTTGTTATGGTTTGGGATAGGGTATAAGGTGAAGTAAAGACCTAAAGATAGTTTCTAAGTTTGCTCGCAAAGATATCACATCCTCTGCCTACGTATCCTAACTAGAATAGAATCAGAGTAATCATAGTTCACCTCACTAGGGATAGATGAACACTTGAATATAATCAAGGTTCAAAGGAGAACAAACATAACAATGCTTGCATAGAGTTTGACCAAACTCTCTAGAGCTATATTGAACACTCAAGAATGGGGAGTAAGTAATCATCACCATGATTCTTACATAGAGTTAACCAACTCTACCTAATTCTACGTTGTAAGACCAATTGGTTCTATCCATACCAAAAGGAGGGAGGAGGCTCTATCAAGGCCTACAAGGATTGACTCTGACCGCGTCAGGGGTGTGCTCGTCAAGATATCGCATCTTGTGCCTATGTATTCCCATTAACCAATGAGAAATCAGAGCGTTCATAGTTCGGACGTGACTAAAGGAGAAGAACTCTAAACCTAAGTTCTAAAGGGAGGATACTCATAACAAGGGGTAGGTCTTTAGACTAAAAGCAAAGTCTAATGGCTAGTAGGTTCTATCTTAACTAAGTTATGGTTCAAAGTGACTTAACAAAGTCAAAGGGAGGGTAATGAGCTATCTATGACCCAAGGGTCAATAGAGATACTTTCCTTTGGAATGGGAAATTAGGCAACTGGATGAGAACTAACAAGTTCCATCACTTGGGGAATAACTTAACAAAGTTAAAAAAGCACATATAAGCATTCACTCAAACATGATGAACATCTAACAGAGCAAGGTAACAACCAAGAAAAGATATGCAAGTATGTGACAACATCAAGCAAAGATTATAAACAAGGCAAATGGTTACCACCAATATGCATACACAAAGATATTATAATATCATAATAGAGATTCTTACAAGACCAACACCAGAGATAAAAACCACTGGAAATATCTCAACAAAAATGAAGGAAGATAAGGTAACAACCATATGAAATATCTTGACAAAGATAAAGGAAGATAAGGTAACAAACATATGATAAATGCAAACAAGTTAAAACTTGAGGTAAGCATGTTATAGGTTTAAAGTTGTCAAATGTAACCACATAAGAGCAGACATCATGCATTTGATGACAATCAAGGGCCAGTAAGCAAGCAATGTTACAGCAAAGCAAGTAAGTATTTCAATACTTCATAGGTGATTCATATAAGTTTAAGGTAATAACCATAGATGAGGCAAACCTATCGTATTAAGTTCTAACAAGACTCAAAAGAGTGAGGAATCAAGTGAAAAGTAAAATCAAGAAGTCACAATATCTAGGGATAGTATGGTTTACAAACACACAACTGTAAGGTAAATCAAGAGATGCTTACAAGAAAAGCATGAAATGAAAACTCAAGCATACAAGGGAGTTAACAACCCAAGTTAAAATTATTAAGTTCTAACAAGACTCAAAAGAGTGAGGAATCAAGTGAAAAGTAAAATCAAGAAGTCACAATATCTAGGGATAATATGGTTTACAAACACACAACTGTAAGGTAAATCAAGAGATGCTTACAAGAAAAGCATGAAATGAAAACTCAAGCATACAAGGGAGTTAACAACCCAAGTTAAAATTCTACTTTAAATTAGACTCAAGGGAAATGAAGTCAAAAGTTTTGAAACAAATATTGAAAGATAGGAGGGTAAAAACCCTAAAATGAGAACATCATTTTCTTATAATATAAAGTGTTTCTAAAATATGAACTTTAGAATTCTTTAAATATTATATGAAAATATGCAATAATAAAAGATTTTAGCAAAAAGAACCAATAAAAAATGATAAAAATTGATGAAGTTGCATTAATTTGAATTTTTTTTAAAAATCAAATAAATTAGTAATTAAAAATAAGGAAATGCCTCATCCAAGGCTTGAACTCAAGACCTTGTGAATCATAGGCAAAAAGCTTTCCAACTCCACCACCAAACACATGTGATCATAGAATAGAGGAGGAAAGAAAAATATTGAAAAATACTAAAAATCATAAAATGTCCAAAAAATGCCCTCGCTGGGGGTCGAACACGGGACACAAGGCATGATAAGATACATGAATTCAAGGCATAAACCACTGGGGTGGCGATACATCCAATGTATAAAGCCACCCCAGTTAAACTTAAACCTAAAGAGGCAAAATTTCTGGGCAAGGTCCAAGGTAAGTTCAAGGCAAAATGTCAAAAACGATTTGATTCTAACTTCTTCAATTCTTAATCAATTTCCATGAAATTTTAGTCAAACTCACTTGAAATTTCATAAGGATTGCAATGGTCCAAACCAAATTTTGAAATAATGCATACACAAAGTAACTCGAATGAAAATGCAAAAAGAAATTTGAGATGCATCTTGGAGTTTAATGGAGCAAAACTTATGAGCTTAGGTCCTAATCAAAGCCTGCACATGTTTGAAATGCATCACTTATGATTATGCTCAAAGAAATAAGCTCAACTTCTCTATGAATCTCAAAATGAACCTCAAGCTGCAAGTGAAACTGGTTCAAGGCAGACTTGGCATATGGGTGATGTTCAAAGCAAAAAATCCAAAGACAAACAATGCTCATTAAATTAGAATGCAACTGATCAAGACCTAACACATATAAACTGCAACAAGAGGTTGGACTTGATAGTATCAGAGGTTATCAGACCTCAAGGCAAGAAACTACAGCATCAATGTACCAAAGCCAACACTAACATTTTTGACAGCAATAAAAATCTATACATCACAGACCAAACTGAGTTAACTAAAACAACATGCCAAAAACCTGACCTACTGATGGATTCTAAAAGATCAAAAGGAATTTTGATAACAATTCTAGGTTGACAGACCTAGAATCAGTCTAGATAGCATACACAAATAGAAACCCAAGATCAAGCTTTTGTAAAAATGTATGCAATACAGACAAACATCTCCATCTATGAACCTCTAACACACACATAGACAGCAAAATGTAACAATGAGCTTGATGGATCAGAAGTTAACAAACTTCAAAGCATAGACTGACAACCAGGTTTTGGTATTTCAATCAATACTTATTAATGAATTCCAAACACAGTTCCAACAGAAACTCTATAAAAAGCAAAAACTTAAAAGTCTTTTAATATAGAACATGATTAAGGAGGTTTTGTGGAAACAGAAACAACAACATGTTCTGTGGTATTTCAATGACAACTTATATAGACTAAACATAATTTCTTTGTTAAAAGACAACAAGCCTTGACATTTCAATGCACAATAAAACAACAACAGTCCAAAGTCTTGTACTTTTGACAACCATCAATTCACACAAGCAACATCTAGCCTTGAGACAAATTCTAACAGCAAACAAATCATGAGTTGACAAACTCCACAACTGAAAGTGACATCTTGATCATTACAATGTCAAACAATCAAATACTAAATCCTCATGACAGTTGCAACTTCAAAGTGACAACTACTAAACATAACAATGTTCAAGAGCAAACAACTAGTCTAACTCTCTTGTTGATGGATTTTGAAATTCAAATCAGTTTTTATGTTAATGAATACAAATTCATCATAACAATGTCAAGCCTAAAATCATCATGTATTTCAACAACATACTTTAACAAAAGTAACAATATACACACCCTACCCTAATGACAGTCTAAAAGCAAATGGTATATTGGCAAATTCAAACTTCACACAACCTTTGACAACATAGTTACCATGATATGTGTGAACCATTTAACAAGCCAATCAAAACATACATGATGCATATTAATGAATAAGCTTAAAATGACATACCTCTTGTAGTCTTCCCCCACTAATCTAGCTGCAAGAACAAGAATTCCCTCCTTTGAGCAAGCTAATGAATGTTACTTCTTTTTGGAGAAATAATGCAACCTTATGGACAATTTGAGTGAATGCACTTCCAACTGTTGTTTGAGACTTTAGATAGCTATTATATCATGAATATGAGGTGTTCCAAGTGTCACAATGATGAAAAATGGTTTAGGTAGTGATTTAGTGTGAAACTTGCACAAAAGTCAAACTATGGTGTGTAGAAAGTTAACTTTTTGATCTATGGTTCTTTTGATGAAACTAATGGTGGGAATAGCTTCAAATGGTCATTTTAAGTGTGTGTGGATGGTTTTTAAGGTAGTGGTATGTTTAGAAATGGTGATGGTGTGAAAATTGCAAAGAGCCAATTTTGGTGTTTTTATGGTTTTCTTCACTTTCAAGAAAATATGGATGGATTGAGAGCTGTGTTTCTCTTGTGTTTTTGAGAGCTCTGGTGTGTTGGATATCATGATATGAATCCTCTATTTATAGGCCAAGTGAGAGGTTAGGGCAGATTTGTTCAAGTGGTATTTAATGGTGGTTTTGTTGAAAACATCTCATGAATCTAGGTGATGGTTTGCTCTAATGGTTTTGCTTGCTCCCAAGGTGCATAGACCTTTAAAACCAGCTAGCAATTAGTTATGAGAAGTGATCTTAAAGTGCACAAGGACACCCTCCATG